TATTTTCGCAACACCATCAATTTTGACACATTTAAACGGTAACAAATCCGTTTAATTTAATCTTTTTAAATTAAGAATACATTTTTCGGGTAGCATGGTTTAGTAAATCGTGCAAATACAAATAATAGTGCACATCTTTCCTTCTTTCCATCCTAAACTTTATTAACTTCAAAAAAATAATTATCCAAAAGGGGTTATCGACTAGTAAAATTCGTTTGGTTTGGTTAGTTTTGATTTTAAAAAGTCTTAAAAACTTTAAGGACATTTAGTTAACCGATGAACACCCTGTATAATATGTACAGCCAACACGAAGAGGGGAAAACATCTCCCCTTATCCTCCCCATCGCTTTGCCCAGATATAACGATAAGTAAAGCGACGGTAATACAAGGATAAAGGGTAGGTTTATGTTTACAACAAAAAAAAAAATATTTGGTCCTTCTAGGTGAGCGAGTTTATGGTGTTTTTTTTTGTGTTGCAACGGATAATGTTTTGTCCAAAGAATATTCCGTGCGAATAAAAAGCCTATTGATTCGATAATATTTATCTAATGGGTTTTATTTTTCAAAAGGTATAGCAAGTGTTTGTTAAAAAAATACATAGAATTTTTTTAACTATATACCATGACAAGTACATTTCTATGGATATTTTTCAAAACTCCTAGTATTGAGCACTATTTTGACAATTTTATAGCAGTTCTCTCTAATATGCCTTGTATGTATCAAAATAGCGTTCCAAATTATACTCAATTGGTATTCTTTTTTTTTTTTAGTATCCAAGTTGTACAACCCATTGATGTCTCGTTATTTTCTTATTATTATTGTTATTTTTTTTGGGGGGTAGGGGGGGATTGAAGATTATTGATTATAAAGTTTGCATAATTTTGTATTTTGTAATTTAATATTAAATGTTTTAAAGGGTCTCAAGTATTAAAATATATGTATTGATGATGATGCATTTTTTTTTTTTAGGCCCACCGACTTTATGTTAATTCTTATTCTTTCTGTTTACTTCCATTGTAATTATTAACTTTTCATAGTTGTAGTGTTTTATTTTGTTTTTTTTAAATTATTCAAATTGATTTTATTACATAAAGATTGCACAAATACCGTACTTAATCATCTACAAATATATTCTTTAACATAATATCATAACAGATGGAAAGGGGTCTTGAACTGTCTTTCAATTTTGTCTAAACAAAGAAATCGGCTCCTCGGCGGAGATATCGGGGATTCGGACAAAGAAATAAATAAATAAAAAATATCAGTACAAAAAATAATGATTGTCGTGCCTCGTCTTCGTGTTAAAAACGCTGCTCTGGACATGAAATATAATAAGAAAAAAAAACAAAGGTCGGCACAAACGGCGAAGAGTTGTAAAGGAAAAATAAAATTATTAAATCAACAACTTTGCATTTGACAGCTGTTGTGATGTAGGGCCAAACACTGTCCTGTCACGAGAAATGAAAAGCTCGACTTTCGAGTAAGTATAGTTTCCAACTCGAAAAATAATAGTCCATGTTTAAACACACCGGTGTATTCTTTAGGCGTGCACGATTTTTCATTCTCAAAACTTATAATAAACTTACTTGCTTCCGAACACGTTCGCCTGACCGTTTACAACACCTTACCTCGACAGCAATAATCTATGTATATATATATATATATATATGTATATTAAAATGAATGTATATTTTCAAAAAATTTTGAATTTGTTCGCCGTTTGTGAACATTTTATTCCAAGGAGATTTTTTTCCACGGAATATTTTCTATTTATAATTGTCATCGACAGCGTTAATGACAACGTCCTATAACCATAAACAAAAGGTATAGTTGAACGATAGCATAGAATGCTCAAAAAGTTGTTTTTATTTCAGTTCGCCTTCGATTTCCCACACACACACATTGGATATCCTCATATCGTTTTCAATTAAGTCTGACTACCTTAATTTTCGGTCCTTCCATTAGCATTATTTACTTCTACACATTAATTTCCATCGCCGATCGTCCCCACCATTGGGGCACCATATCTAAGCTTCCGGTTGCATATCCATTGCTTGTTTTATATTTTGTACCAATTACTTGATCTCATCGCACAAAACGGCCCTGGTTTACAATGTATACCTCAGTAATATTCTTCAACAATGTTAGTAATAACGCAAGTATCACATTTTTTAGCTACTTTAAATGATAATTGAGCTTTATCGAATCGAAAAAACGAAAATATAGGTATAGCTCCCTAGGTGTACTTCAGGATTAAAGTGATTCAAAGGATTAAAGGTAGAAATGCTGTTGAAATGATCGGTCGACCGAATGCTGGAGAACACATCAATGGTATTGATGAGTATACAATATATTGTAGATACAAGTATAACGAATGGGTTGGTTTGTATGTATATGCAGTGCTATGTCAAAGGGAGAAAAACAAGTAATAATACAAAACAGACGAGCAATCGAATTAATTGGAATAATTAATCGGCCTAAAAGGCTGATGTATTATTGTGTGTGTGTGTGTGTTTATTACACTGGCGGTGAGGTCCTTCGGGATACCGGGCAAAACCTATACAGTGACTCGTTATTCAATTAATACAAATATATAGCCAATATAAGGGCGTACCTATTGGCAGTGATGGGAATAATTTTGAAAAATAGCTCTACAAAACTGACCGGTTGACCAGTCGAAATGTTCGGGGAATTGAGAATAATAATTGCAAAAGTTAATTAAATTTAATGCACGTTGCCATTTAAGTTTTTAAAAATTGATAGAGCTCTGGAAAAATTTAAAAAAAAAAGATGAGTATTTTATAATTTTATAACATTGGACAATAACAAAAATTAAAATGTTTTCACAAAATACAACTAAAATGTTGTAATTATTATTTTCCAAACTAATAGGTGTCTCAAGTTAAACTGATCACCCTGTACAATGTATACATAGTATAAAAATCATTATTTGTTTGTTTCTCAATCATTCATACTTAATACTAATATTGATATGTATACATATATTATTTATTCATTTCTTAAAATGCATTGTATAAATTGAGTTTATATTATTATATACTTGCCATTATGATTTTGACCATTTTATTTTGTTTTATTTGTTTTTTTTTTAAATAAATGTCTAGTTATAAATAGTTTTCTGGCGTATAAATACATTTTAAATTGTTTACGGTTTTATTATATTATAGAATAAATGCATAAACAAATATCTAATATAATTAAAGTTTCAAAATCCAGATATTTTCCCATTACTAATATTAAAACAATGACCAAATCCGTGAGCTCTGGACTATGTGCACACAGAGTTGTGCAAATTCTTATTCGAATAATTATTTTTTAATTTATTTGAATTGAAAATTATTTGGAAAATTTTTGTTAAAATTTATTTTGAATGAAAAATTGTCTTCCTATATTTACTGGTTTTATATATTTCCTAAATGTAGTATACCTGTAGACGATTTATACGAAATAATGTTTTTAAAAATAGTTACCTAAAAAAAGCACTTAAAAACCAACTAAATAGTATTATGTAATTTAATAATAATTTATTATATATAATAATAAATTATTTGACAACTATTATCAGGGGCGTTCTCAGGATTTTTTTTATGGTGGGAGTTCTGGAAATTTACTAGAATAAAAAAGTTTCTAGTTTTGGTATGCTGTCAAGACAAGGCCACCTGTCTTTTGAGATCCAACACCACCGACTTTGGTAAAGACTACACAATATTTACAAAATGCACCTTCAAACTTTTTAGAATAACATAACCTATAAGCTATAAGTCTCAAGCCAGCGGTACTGAAATTTAATATTTCTTTTAGAGTTCATTTTTAACATTGGAAATTCATAATTTAATAGTGGCGCCCATAAGTTATTTAAGACCTTAAAAAATGTTATTTACATTAAGTTACATAGGTTTTTCATTTTTTTTTTTATTTTCATAAATAAAAAATTTAAAAAATAATGTGTGAAAAACTATCAGTGACAAATGCACTCACAATGTTTTTTTTTTTTTTAATATCTGCCAAGCTTCAATTTATAAACAAACCTATATCATTTTTTTGGTTCAACTTCAACAGGCGCATTACATTCTAACATGTCTAATTGAAATAAAGAAAAGCAAAGCAACAAGAAAAACACCTATAATTAAAGCACTATTTCACCTATTCTGTGGTAAATGTGGTTAAAGCAAATAAAAAAATGTATACATTTTTGATACGCATATGAAATAGTTTTTAAAAAAATACGGTCAATGGGGCCCTCCCCCATTTTTATTCGAACAATTGAATTGGAATTTATATTCGAATAATCTTTCATACGAATGACTATTTCTATCTATTTCTTTGAATAATTAAATTTGAAAATATTCGCAAAACTTTTTATTCGAACAATTGAATTGGAATTTATATTCGAATAATATTTCATCCAAATAACTGTTTCTAGAGTTATTAAGTTTGAAATTATTCGAAAAACTTTTTTTCGAAAATGTGCCATCCAGATGATTGTTCGGATAACGTTTTATTCGAATGGTACACAACTGTGTGTGTACAGGTAGTAAGTACTGCCTGACTGACAGCATTCGTCAGCATGGTGGTCACCACAGTTGTTATGGATGCGCCAAAACAAAAGGGAGCGACTCCTCAGAGGAACCGGTAACCTATATATATATATATTAGTGGGACGATTGTAAAAGAAATTCTCTCAAAACCGGGCATGTGTAAATGTGAGACACGCTAGGGTAAAGGGGATATTTTCGAATAAACAGTATTCATTTATATGTGTGTAAATAAACAACGATGGCTCTAATGAGGGGAAGTCATGTGGCGACTGGGACTGGGCAGGTTAAAATCTACGGTAGTGCGCGCCGCTAAGGAGACGGACTGAAGGGTGGTTTGCTGCTGGGACGGGGCCAGTTTTACCGCAACGGCGCGGCGTCGCCGGTGTCAGAGCACGGCGCGTTCGCCCTTCAAGCACGGCGGTAAACAGTCGCGAACCGGCTTCCAATCGTTCCGGTGCCTTACCGCGGTCGGCCTCGGGGCAGGCCACCCTGCTTAGCCGCTATCGCAGTCGTCGGACGTAGAGAAAACGAAAAAAAAAAAAACAGATACATCAAAAACCGTGAGTAAAATTAAACCACAGAAATTAAATAACAATAAACTTATTGGGGAAAAAATATTGGGACCCGGTGTGGTATACGGTACTACCATCGTGATATATTTTATGCGACCGTCCGTGGGAAAACGTGGCACCTTATCTTCTAGTTTTTTTTTTCTTCAAAATGAGTGTTTTTTTTTTTTGCAACAATGTTGTTGTCTTAGCAGATTGGCTGCTGATCACAACGGTGTATCGATCACAACGGTATCTAGATCCGTTCAAAAGTTATGAAGCTTTCTTGCGGTGGAACTCCTACTAAGTTAGTTGGTTAGTTGACTAAGTTAGTTTAGGCGCCGGCCAGATAATGGCATACCTTTCCCAATGGACGGTCACATGATACAATGTTTAATTTCGCATATCGACACGCCGACAACAATAGTGTACTTAGTTGATGTCGTTAAAACATCCTAAAAAACAGTTATAATATTTAAAAGTTGTCTAAATGTATATATTTCATACCGTTTTTTTTTTGTGTTTGACATATTTTAGAAAGTGGAAACTGTTGGAAATTGTACAGAAATTATTTTTGTAAAATATCAAATGCCTATATTTACTACTAAAATAAGTCTATATTTAAATAATTACCGTGTGGATTTGTTCAATATGTATAATACAATCAAATATATATTTTGACATAAAAAAAAGTCGTCTAAAAAATGTCGACAGCAATTATTGTTCTGCAATTATTGTTCTGCAATTTTTGTTTTTGCTCTATTAGCTTTTTTTTTTTTCAATGAAAAAATAACGTTCATCTAACGTTAGCACTAGCCAATGGAAATGATAAATCTCATATTAGACATACAAAGCTCTTGTTCTCGGTAGTACTTGTACTTTACTATATTTTTTTCACGAATTTATTTCGAGGTTTAACGGAATTTCGGGATACATAACATTTTTGAAACGCAACAACAAAAGATTTAGAAAAACCATCTCATAATTTATACTATTAAAAATGTTTTCTAAACGATCAGCCGCTTAAAAAACTACTTTTTTTTTTTTAATGTTAAAAACAATAATTTAAAGCTTTCGCCAAAGTTAATGGCTCTGATTACATTAAACATATTTACATATTTTTTTTCTTACTTTTAGCATTTATTAAATAAAATAAAACGGCCCATTTATGACGATTATGATATTACATTTGTAGGTTATATTCATTTAGGTGAAATAAGCGGTCATGATTAAAAAAAACATTAAGCGTTTTGATAATATGAAAAGCTAACAATTGAAATGCAACTTAAGACAATACAGTACTTAACACAAGTTTCGTGGGTTTATTAAAATACAAAATTATCATCGAAACATATTTAACGCAAAGCGCTTTGAATATATTTTATAATAAGAGTTTTGATTAAAATCATCTCTCAGGAAGAAGGGTCGTATTTAAAGATTTAAAACCGACGCTTTGTTGTCAATACCACCGACAAAAAAAAAATCCATTTCATCAATTGTATTTAACAATAATTGGAGCATTGACTACATCCATAATTACAGTTTTTTTTTTTTTTATACAATTTATTTATTTCAAGGTGAGACGTTTTTTTTAGCTGTAAAAAGTTATCAACGAGTATACCACAACAAATAAATTAATTTAAAAAACCCTTCCTCCTATAAGGGTTTTTTTCATTTCGCTTTATTAAGTGTAAGGTCTGAAAAATTGTCCAAATCTGTAGCTAGTGTGATTTTTATAGAATAAACATTTTTTTTTAACAATCTGTACTCATACTTTCACCATATCTCAGAAAAGAATAACTTTAAAAGTCTTGTAATAAGAAAACAATTTATAATAATTCACCTCTTGTGGTTTGTTGGCAAATTTCAAATGGCTCTTAGTTTAATTTTTGCCAAGTATTGTCTATCAGTTAAAACATGTTGGTAAACCTTTTATCTACACATGTTTACATTTTTGTATTATGCATAATATAGGTTGTATTATAACATTAAGTTATTTGTTATTATTATTAATATTTATCGGTATTTGTTTATTGCCTTATTGACAATTGTTACATAATATTTTTCATTACTCTGATATCAAATATAGGTATGTATTATTATTAATTACAGCCGTTATTGCATAGTTTACCGAGATTGTCCATTGCCAATATTGTTATTATCACATTTTCGCTTTCACTATTTTGTACTATTTATGATTTGAATTAGTTAGCGCGCTAAGTGAATCAGAATTATTAGCTAAATGTGAGTGAACTAAACACTTGATGTCTATTATACTCGCTTGTATAATGCAAACAATTCGGCTGCAGAAATTGGGAAGTTTTAATGACTCTTTTTGATGTTCAAAGTTAACCAGATAGCTGTTTTTATATTTTTTTAGATGTATATATTCCAAGGCGAGGCACGGAAGAGTGGATTATATTTTCTTTGAATACATTTCTGTAAGCATTTAGGTGTGTCTTTTCTCAGTGATTGTACACCACTTTGTGCTGGTTGATGAGCTATTCACAACGCTTTACTCAACGTTATGGTTTGTGATGTTAAAAGTTTTTGAACCGTCCAAACTTTTGACAACTTACCGTTGGAGGAAAAAAAAACACTGTTCGTCCGTCGTGTCTTTATTTTGTGAGATTTTGTAAGCTTTATTATTACAAACATTATTTACACAGTAAACAAGTTATTTATTGTTATTGTCAAACAGTTAATACAAAGTCAGTCATGTCTGCAAAACCGTTCTTTGAATTTAACGTCAGTTATATAATAAAATTATATTAAGAACTTGTTCGGATTAACATTTACAAATAGTTGATGTCTTTTACCTTCACAAGGTGGGTGAATTTTTAAAAAAATTTTTTCGCTTTTTGGGTGTATTTTTTGGACTTAAGATCTGAAAATTGACCTACTTGTAATATACCATTTACCGTTTACATTTTACAAGTTGACATTGTAGTGTTTCTTTTTATGACTATGGACGCTCCGACCATCTCACTTCAACGACCGATTTTAGATCCTAAAATCAACCCTTAAAGCACAAAGCCGGAAATGGTTATTTTTGAGTTATTTTTATTTGCAGTGGTTTTTTTTTTAAATTTATTTTATAAACACACTACGCTTAAAGCGCAACGAGAAAATAGCTCGGCGGCGTCGGTCAATGGTTTGGAAATAACAATTAATTTTAAATTGATAAAATCCTTTTCAGAAAACGCTTCCATGCGAAACCCTGTACTTTTTTCCCTTTTGTATTGCCAGAAGACGTTTGAATTTATTACTTACATACATTCTTTTTTTCGACTTTTAGTCTGAACAATATATGTATATATTTACCACCCTCATACAGATTGGCATTCAAAAGATTATTCGCAAAGTGATTATTATTATTTTATTAACTTAAACTCTTACTTCTGGTTTTCTATCTCAATAATTACTCTCATAATGGTTGTGCCAGCTTGAAAATGTCTTCAGGAAGTCACCTTTACTATACCCACATTGCAATAAAATTATGTTAATCATTACTTGTCACAATACGTTTAATACATGCAAACAAATTTTCCGTCATACTTTAATGCAGTTAATATAATGCCGAATTTTCAATAACTCTGTTTAAGTTCTGTTTTGCCAATTTCTACATTTTTTTGCGATTTCAAACCGGGAAAGGAGTGGACTTTTTTTTATTTTTGACCCTATTAAGTATGTTTATTATCTATGGGCTTGCCACACACAATCAAATCGGTTCATCGCGGTCGGGGACACCATCATAAAAAACACGTCATTTTTTTTTAGAAAAAAAAAAACAATACATAATAATTACAAGACGGAAGAGACCGTTTCAAGGGGTATATATACCTTGTACTTGTAAAGTGTATCAAGTGTCAACAGAAACGGAAAAAACAACGTCGACAATGAGCTGATGTTATCTGATCGTAAAAGCTCATTCGGTATGTATGCAAACCAAACACAGCGCCTATACTTAAAAAAAAAAACACCCCCGCGCCCTCATAATGTACACAACGCACGTTTTCCAATTTCCGAAAGTCTTATCAGCGGCGACAAATCAAAGGCGCCTTTGCCGTTTTTAATCGTCGAACCCGTTAATCCCATCTGGCCGTACAAGCAGCACGTTGAAAGGGCAAACAGAAGCGACTCGACCGGCTTTCGGGGGAGAGCACAAACAACACAAAAAAAAAAAACTATTTGCTTGTTTTCACCAGCGCTAAAAATTTCCTTTGCTCTCATAAGTGCTCTGCAATTGTTCACATTTTTCTCCCTCGATCAATAATCAATATCCTCGTTGCTTCTGAATTGGCAATATTGCCTTCTAGCTATTTCTTCCCAATCCCTCCTCATTATCTCCTCTTGGTTATCGACCCGGTTTTGTAAAGTTCCTTTGGATTCACGAAGTCATGACGGAATTTTAGATAATGAAATTGCCGACCGTCTGTTGCCTTGGCTACAACATTTTCCTCGCACTCCTGCCATCTTAAGAAGCATTCGTCTGACTTGCTTTCCAAGCACCGTTCGCTTAACCATTCCACCCAACTGAGCTTGTTGGCATAGAAATATTTCACCTTAGCACCTATCAGTGATGAATAATTGTGACGTTTCACATGTTCTTTTCGACTGTCCCTCTTTTCCGCAATGGTTACATTTCTCCTCTTATCCGAGTTCTTCTTGGCCATCGTTTCCCTGACGTTATTTCCTGTATTTTAAGCGCTGGCATGTATTGTATTATTTTGTATCATAACATAGTGTGCTATAATGTGTAAAAGCAATTAACAAAAAAAAAAAAAAAAGCCGCGTCGTCGAGTGTGTAACGATTAAAAACCATTCGTTCATTTTATTACATTTAATTTATACACTAGGTTGTTCGCATCGACCAAAACTTTTTGTGTGTACCGCATCTGTGTATGTGTTAAAGTGCTAAAATACCCTTGTGCATATGCCCGGAAAAAGGTAGGATTTACACACACACACACACACAGACAGACTACCGCCGACCGATTTTTAGTTTTCCT